CTTGGCTGGCTGTTCTCGCTGATCTTCTGGGGAGGGGCCTGTTGCCGTGGTTTCCAAATGTCTTTGCCGGAGGCAGAATTGCCCGTCCCTCAGCAGAATTGCCCGTCCCTCAGCAGAACAGACTTTTAAAAGTTCCGATTTTGTGCTCTGTGGTTCTATCACTTGCCAGAAGCAGCTGACGGAGGCCCCTCCCCCACCATCTAGCCTCCCAAATATCGCCTTGGATTCACTTCTCTGCATGTCCTACCTTCCAGAAAGTGGTCGCTTTTCTGATGGAAGAGTTGTTGCTCTTGTTTTCTTCGATCTCCTGTTGAGTTCGTAGGTGTTCAGAATGGTTTGATCCCTATCCAGCTGAATTCCTGAGAGGAGACGAAATCCAGGTCTCCTACTCCTCCGCTATCTTGCTCCGCCCCTGGGCAATAACGTTCTTAATTCAACATTTTTTTTCTACCTGATCATTATATGTTAAACCACATGCTCCTCAGTATCACATCATTTCCCTTCCCTCCCTGAAGCTCTGTACACAGATTCACCTCTCCAGTAAACCTGTCTTGATTAGTAGCATGGTTATTCTTCTTTCTCATTGACTGTACTTTTTCCCAGAAAATATCATTTAGTTGACTTTCTAATTATGCATTTTCCAGTTCTTGGCGAGGAACAATCAACCTTTTTCTTGTACTTATGTACTTGGGCAAAATTAGATTGTCAGGTTCTCAGGGGCATGGACAAAGGAGGTTTCCATCTTCTATTTTCTTTGTGTCCCCTCTAAAGTACCTAAAATTGATTTTTCACACAGTGGTCATTTGGGGGCAAGTTGAGTTATTAACTAGCCATTTCATTATATCCCTAGAGTACTGCCAACTTCTTCAAGGAAAGATGTAAAAACAATCCTTGTACTTCCTGCTGCTTCTCTAAAGGAGAGAGAGGTGATAAAGGTCCAAGAATTTGCTGGAAAGTTTCTCAAAACTGTCCACAAAACCTGTGGAAAGTGGTGCCTATTTTGGTTACATGGCCAACACTCTGGAAGATGGACAGGAGATTCATTAGGGCTTTAGAGGACCTTACAAATGAGCAACATTGTGTATAAGTGTGAGGTCACTGAGCCAGAAACCCCACGAGGGGTCATAAGAAATGTTAAGAATTGGCTCCCATAGCAGTAAACATATTTTGTTCTACTTGAGTAGTTCCAAGAAATAGAACAATATGACTTGGCATTTGTGTAAGTGGAAAGAGTTTGAAAGCCACAGGGCAATCAGTGATTGAGGTTAAAGCTATTACAGGAATGGTGTTTAACACATTGTTAATTGGGTATTAGGGAAGAAGGTAACTAGGCAGTCCAGAGAGACATGGTGCTTTCAACAGAAAAAGATAATTTGGGCTGCACTAAGCAACGTGTTTCTCTTCTGTGTTCTGTAACACTTCTCACTTAATAAATTGACAAGTAGTCATCTTGGATATATTCAGGCCAACAGAGCAGTGGCAAGGTTCTTAGAGGAGTGTCATTGTGTCCTTTGTAAACCAGGTTGACATTTCTTACCATTGTAATTGCAATTCAGCAGAAATTTATTGAGGAAAAGTTTATTCTGAACTATGCTCTGTGTGAGGTGATAGGGTTCAAGAGTGAAAGAAAGAGACATGGCCCCTGACCCTCCAAAAACAGACACACTAGTGGCTGACCAGAACATATCACACTATGTGATATGTCTCCTAAAGGAGAAAGGATTTGTGCCACTGACAGGTACTGTCTTCCTTGTGGACATCAATAAGCTTTCTACTTTGTAAAATAAAATTTTATGTCTGTAAAAGTAACAAAGGCTAAAAATTCAGAAAATATGTAAAATAAAAGAAATAATTTATAATCCTAAAACCAGAGATAATTACTGTTAATAGTTTTATTTCCTTCATTTTTATTTGCATTATATAAATATATGTAAACATACACAGTTGATACACTATATATAAACTTCCAATTCTGCATTGCCCCAGTAAGCTAGAATTATTTCTCCATGTCATGAAAAACACCATAAACATCATATTAAAGGCTAAATTGCATTAAGTGATTGTTTTATTCAATTGTTCATTAATTGATAGACATTTCCAATAGTACATATTTTTCAAATGTTTGGAGTGGATAAACAGTTGAATTTGGCTGTATTAATGTGATACTTTAAATGGCCTAATCGACCTTAAGAAAAATAGAGAGGGAGAAATGGAGGGAGATAAAGGTGGCAGGGTGGGGGGTTGGAGAAAGAGAGAGAGGTTGAATGAGAGAATGAGAATGAATGAAAACACCTAGATCTGGCTAAATCTGCTTCTGTGATATAATGCTGGGATACATGCCCCCAAGATCTCCTTTGGTGGCTACCGGTCAATCAGAGATCCTGCATTACTGTATCATGACCTCAACATTAGGACTTTGGAACCTGAGGGTGAGAGGGCAGGTGAAGGTTAAGAAAGATCTTCCCCTTTCCTTGGCTAAGAGAATAGATTACCGTAGAGTTTGAAGGAACATAGTCCACAAAATTGCCCTCACTTCTTTTTTTATTGTTTTGTTTTGTTATGTTAACCATACATTACATCATTAGTTTTTGATGTAGTGTTCCCTGATTCATTGTTTGCTTATAACACCCAATGCTCCATTCAGTACATGCCCTCTTTAATACCCACCACCAGGCCAACCCATCTGCCCTCACTTCTGACATCAACTGCAAGTTTGAGGGGTTTCCAAAACCACTCTCAATGATTTGCTAAAAGGATTCACAGAACTCACTGAAAGCTATTGTAGTAAAGATTATGAGTTATTACAGGGAAAGGATTAAGATTAAAATCATTCAAAGGAAGAGTTACATGAGGCAGAGTCTAGGAAAGCTGCAAATTCAGAGCTTCCATTTGTCCTTTCCCATGGAGTCATTGGCAGTATTATTTTATCAGCATCAATATGTTATAATATGCACAGAGTGTTTTCATCCAGGGAAGTTAGCCTGAGTCTTGGTGTATAGATTTTATTAGGGCTCCATGTTTGTCTGCCCACATGATGGACCCTTAGTTTCCAGGCCCTCCAGAGATAGAACTGATGCTGCATAGAGGACCTTTAGTCTGCATTCCTCTTGAGGTAAAGTGTCCACTGCAAGGCCCAAAGTCCCTGTCATAAATCACATTGTTAGTCTGTCCAGTGGCCAAGGCCCCCAGGTAAACAAAGACACTCTTATCAGGCATGATATTCCAGGGGCTTAGAGATTACCTCCCAGAAACCAAGCGCAAAGGCCAGACCTCTTTCTGAGCAAGGGTACATTCTTTACTCTACAGGTACATTATCTAGTAGGAACCTCCCCTTGATGATTATGTACCAGCATGTGGTGTGCTATGAAGGAAACCACTGAGGAAGCTGATATTATTTTTATCTTATAGAAAGGAGATAGTGACTTAAGCACATAAAATACTGTTTAGTGGTTTGGCATCCTGGCACTTTGCTTAGTTTATCCTGTTTTCTTTGTGTAGTCTAATCACAAGCAGGATAGGTAGTTTTTATGTGTTGTGTGTTTTTATGTGTTGTGACATGAAAGACAGAAAAAGAAATCTCATAACAACAAATCTGTTCCTTCATATGCCAAAGCCACAGATCAGAATCAAATTGGCTTTTTTTTTAAGGATTTTATTTATTTATTTGAGAGAGAGAATGAGATAGAGAGAGAGAGCATGAGAGGGGGGAGGGTCAGAGGGAGAAGCAGACTCCTCGCTGAGCAAGGAGCCCGATGCAGGACTCGATCCCGGGACTCCAGGATCATGACCCGAGCCGAAGGCAGTCGCTTAACCAACTGAGCCACCCAGGCGCCCTCAAATTAGCTCTTAAAGATCATCTAGTTCAGGTGTTGGCAGACTATGTCTTGGGGCCAAATCTGGCCCTCTGCCTGTTTTTGTAAATAAATTGTAATTGGAACAGCCATGCCCCATTCATTTATTTATTGTCTATGGCTGCTTTCATGCTACAGTGGCAGAGTTGAATAGTTGTGACAGAGACCGGATGGCTGCAAAAATACTTAACTATCTTGCCCTTTACAGAAAAAAGTTTGCTGACCTCTGGACCAGTTCAACTATATCATTATGCAGATGGAGAAATTGAAGTCCAAATTGGAGAAATATCATTAAGTTAGGCAAATAACTACCTTACTTTGTATTGGGCACTATTGAAGGCACTTGAGATACATCAGTGAACAAAACATAAAAAATGCAGACTAACTGTACTAACAATTATACTAACATATTAATGCTAGCAATTTATAATGCCATGGAAAAAAGACTAACAAATGGATAACAGGTTAAAGGGGAATCGGGAGTGTGAGGTGGAAAGAGTCAAAACTTTAAATAAGGTGATGAGAGTATGCTTCATTGAGAAGTTGAAATTTTAGAAAAGATTTGAAAAGGGTGGGGTGAGCCTTCGATACACCCAGGAGAAAACATTTTCAGGCAGAGGGAACTGTTCATGAAAAGCCTGAGCAGACATGTTCCAGCAACAGACAAAATGAAGTAAAGTGAGTGAGGAGGAAGATAGTAGGAGATGAAGGAAGTGGGTAATGGAATACCAGATGCCACTGGGTTTATAATGCCATTGGAAAACTATGAGTAAAATGAGGAATATATGTAGATTTTGAGCAGAGAAGTGGCATCTGACTAGGATTAAGATTTTAGCTACATTGTTGAAGATAGGGGGGTGAAAGTGAAAGTAAAAGATCAATGTGATGGTTAATTTTATTTGCCAACTTGGCTAAGGCATACCCAGATTAGCTGGTAAAAAAATTATTTCTAGATGTATCTATGATGGTGCTTAACCAACTGTGTTGAAGAGAAGAGATTGGCATTTGAATTGGTAGACTGAGTAAAGATTTGCTCTCATCATTGTAGTGGGCATCATCCAATTGGTTGAGTGCCTGAATAGAACAAAAGAGAAGAAGGGCAAATTTACTTTCTCTGCTTGAGCTAAGACATTCATCTTCTGCCCTCAGACATTGGCACTCCTGATTCTCAGACCTTCAAATTTAGTCTGAGACATACATCACTGGCACTCTGGTTCTCAAGTCTTCAGGCTTGGACTGGAACTACACCACCAGCATTCCTGGGGCCTCCAGCTTACAGTTGGCAGATCATACAAGTTCTCAACCTCCATAATCAAGTAAGTCAATCCCTCATAATATGCTTCTTCCTGTATATCTTATATATTTCCTATTGGTTCTGTTTCTCTGGAGAACCCTGACTAATCAAACCAGTTATGAAGCTATGATATTAATCTAGCCTAGAGATGATGTTGGCTTGGACCATCTTGGTAGCAGTGGATGAGATGAGAAGTTATCAAATTTTGGATTTATTTTGAAGGTAGAACCAAACAAGATTTGTTAAAGGCTTGACTATAGGGTATAAGAGAAAGAGAGGAGTCAAGGTTTTTTGGCTTGAGTAACTGGAATAATGGAGTTGTCAAAGTCATACAGGAGGTTGGTAGAAGAGCAAGGTCTTGAAGCCAGGCCCTCTAACTCCCTCTAACTCCCCTCTAAATCCCAATTTGATTGTGCTCTCCTGGGGAATGCTAATATGACTCTTTCAGACAGTGAAAACTGGCCCAGTGCATGTGCAGCTGCAGCAATATGCAAATGATAAATAATAAGTCTCAGAGCTAAATCTTTTACAGAGTATCTCTATTACCAGGTTTATTTCCAGGTTTATCTCTCTGAGTGCAGGAAAGGGAAAATTTCCTTACTATTTAGCTCAAGCTCATTAAAAAGTCTCTCCTTGACCAGCTTTGATAAGGAGAAGAAAACAAACATAATGGCCCTGCTTGAATATCATAAGATAATAAATATTCCAAATGAACATAATTGTTTTTAACCTTTATGCCAGGTACAATAAATGTCAAATGGAAAGATAACCTAGCACTCTCCTGAAATAGCTTAAATAATAGGCCCCAGTTTGCCTTAATGGGAACTCACCCAGTAGATACACTCATATAACAAATGAGAAATCCCTAATGAGAGTTGCATTATTTCTATTGGCTTTTATGCCATCCTTAATTGATTGCCATCATGCATGGCTAATTAAGAGCATGATAATCTGACTGAGGTATTTTCAGCCAGTGCAATGGTGCCTGCTTTAAAACAATGACTTTTAGAAACCCACATCAAGGTGGCTGGCAGGTTACTCTATAGTTGGTGACTCCCCCATTAGAAAGCATGATCCTTCATTGATCAGTCTAACTTGGTACACTCCTGGGAGTTTAGTGCCTCAACTGTGGACAGGAACATTGAGACCATCTCTCAATTATGTCAAAAGCACTCCAGGGCAATGGCCTTTTTGTCCTGAGCCTACTGATTAATTTCCTGTTTCTAAGGCCCATTTCTTTTATCCACACCCATCCTCATGTCATAGATTTCCATCCTGAATCTCTTTCACAGGCTTATTCTCAGAGGGTTGGAGTATACTGAGAAGATGACTGGATTTGTATTCTATTTTCAGCTCAACTATAAACTGGCTATATGACCTTGAATAAATCACTTCTATGCTATTTTCTATATTTTTTCTATTCAAAAGTGAAGGGTTGGGAGAGGCAAATTCCAAGCTTGCTTTTAGTTTTGCCTTTTAATTATTTTGTGGCCCCATCTTTGTCAAAAAGCCAGTGGTGTGATTGGGAAAAATTTGTTAAACTCAGTTTCCATTGTCTCTTCTGTGAAATGAATGTGGAATTAACTTAAAATACTTAAAATACTCAAAGCAGACATATGGTCAATATCATTATTATGTGATTGAATTCATTAAGCCCTTGGTCAGCAAACACAGGATTCATTCCTTCCCACCTATGGGTGTTTGTGAAGAGTACCCCAAGGAATTTGTTAGGGAGTTAAATATTTGTACCTCTAATATTACACATGTCTGATTGAAGCATAAAGTTATTTCCTTTAGAAACTAACTTGTATCATGGAGATGCAAGTTAAAACAGCAAAGAGCTCTCATTTTGCAATAATCAACTGAGAAATAATTATAATCAGTTAATATCAAGTATTGGTGAAGATATGGCATAATGGGAACCCTAATCTACTGTTGTTGGGAATGTGGATTGGTATAATTTTTTTACCCAGTAAATGCAAACATGTGCATGTACGTGAATGTTCATAGCAGCATTGTTTGTAAGTGGAAAAACCTGGGAAAATATGAATGTACAAATAATATCTATAAATATATTGGGGAAAATCATGCAATGAATGAAAAATGAGTAAGCCACAGCTATACACATCAACATAGGTACATCTAAAAATCATGGCATTTACCAAAAAAATAGCATGCCCTAGATAAATACAGATAGTATAATTTTAGTTTTGTAATGTTTAAAAATTGATAAGTGATGTATTTTTTAGGGATATGGATTTGAGTGATAAAACTACTTTTAAAAAGTGAGAGAAGGATTAACAAAATATTCAGGCTAGTAAAAGAGATCGACTCTGTAAATCTCTGGTGAAATGATAGGGAGGCAATTAGAAGAAACATAAAGGAGGTTTCAAATATTGGCAATGTGCTCTTTAGTTTTGGAAATTTAAAAACTATTATAAAAGTAATACATGGCTATCATAAACTCTGGAACAATACAGAAGAATATAAGATCAGGAATAGAGCTGTCCCTTTTCCTCTTCTCTACAATTCCATTTAAGAGATGAAAAGAGCACTGTCAATAATAACCATTATCCTTCTAGATCAGTGGTTCTCAGTGTGGTCCCTGGACTGGCACTATGTGCATCACCTGGGAACCTGTTAGAAATGCAAATTACTTGGCCTCATCCCAGATTTACTGACTTAGAAACTCCAGAGATGTGGCTGTGCTATTTGTGTTTTAACAAGTCTCTGGGTAGTTACAACCCTGGTTGAATAATAATGGAAGCACCAGAGGAACTTTGAAAAAAAATTCCAGCGCCCAGGTCTTACCTCCAGAGATGTTTTAGAAGTTCCTCCAGTAATTATAATGTGTTGACAGGGTTAAGAGTCATTGGTTTAGGCTTTCTATATACATATACATATACATATACATATACATATACATATACATATACATATACAAAACATATACATATATATAATATTATATATTATTAGTGAAAAGCCTAAGATATAGAAGATTTTTTCAGATATATATGAGAGAATCTTCTGCATCTTTCACTTTTCACTAATAATATGTCAACAAATATAAATCTATTTCCTTTTTTAGAGCAGTGGTTCTTAACGAGGGATGATTTTGCCCTACAAGGGACGTTTGGCAATATCTGGAGGCTATTTTGGTTGTCACAGCTGGGAGAGATGCTACTAGCATCTGGTGAGGAGAGGCTAGGGATGCTGCTAAATATCTTAAAATGGACAGGACAGCTCCCCACAATGAATTATCTGGCTCCAAATGTCAATAGTGCTGAGGTTGAGAAACTCTGTTTTAGAGGGATACATAGTGTTTGATTCTAAGACAGTATTAGATTTCATTCCATCTATTCAATGTGCTTTGGTGACTTCATTTAATACCCACAGGCTCTGAAGAGCTTGAGAAGATGTGAGTTATATGGGTATGCCTTGTCTCTACATACTTTCTCAAAACTCAGTAAAATAATGTGCATGATTTTTGCTTCTTTTGTGTTCCCATAATAATCAACACATTGCTGGGCATGTTAAAGGTATTGGAGAAAAGCCTGGTGAATTGAATTGAATCATTCCAATCCCCATAATTCTATGGTATTTGTCTCTGGTTTCTGTTAAATCCTAGAAATGAAGGCTGGGTGAAATTCTTTCTGTCAATAACAAATGGAATTAACTGTAGAGTCTCAGGTGTATTGCAGAGTGAATGATTAAAAATCATTGGCAAATAGTAAGCTGTCTTCTGTGACCTTTTAGCTTTTGGTATTTTGACTGACTGTCCCCTCTTTGCAGCTTAGTGAAGTTGTAAACAGAGAGAAATGAGACCCACTTATGGGCCAGGCAGTCAAACACCGAATATGAAAAGGTCAGCATCAAACTCTGCTTGCTGATATGACTCAGGCTGGCATGGAATTGGGTGGGCCTGTGACACTGTGGATTTGAGCTATTGATTTAAAGGGAAGCAAATGTCTCTGTAGCAAATGGAATGGGAAAACCTTCAGTTTGGATTGTACTGGGAGATTGGAAAGGAGCTCTGGCTGAAACTTAGGCCTGGTTAAGGCCATGCATATTTTAAGTAGAAAATGCCATGGACCTTGACTTTTTGAAGGCTCTGTCTAGGGTGTTGTCATTGTTGTTGTTGTCTGCTTCTCTCTTTTTCTAAGAAGACTTTCAGTATCTTGCAGATACTTACTTCTTTCTTGCTCTGGTAACAGGGCTTTCTCTATACCATGCTATTAAATGTAGAGCCCTTGGTCAACTTTTTCAGACTTTGCTCTCTTCTTTCTCCTTTACATGTCTCCCATTTTCATCTTTTCACCTTTGTGTTCACTGTTTATTTTCTTCTTCCTATATCCTTTAATACTCTATTTCTCCTTAGAAAAAACAGAGTTGATGAATATAATAATGGAAATAAACAATACATTAGAGTGTATCAACAGTAGATTAGTAGATGGAGAAGAATGTATCAGTGATCTAGAAGATTGGGTAATAGAAAGCACCCAAGCTAAACAGCAAAAAGAGAAGTTTTAAAAATGAGGATAGGCTAAGGGGTCTCTTGGACAATATCATGCAAATACTTGCATTGTAGGGGTCCCAGAAGAAGAGAGAGAAAGGAGTAGAAAACTTATTTGAAGAAACAATAGCTGAAAACTTCCCTAAACTAGGGAAGGAGGTAGACATCTAAGTCCATGAAACACAGAGTGTGGAACAAGATGAACCCAAGGAGCGCCACAGCATGAAATATAGTAATTAAAATGTAAAAGATTAAAGATAAAGAGAGAATCTTAAAAGCAGCAAGAGAGGAGCAAAAAATTATTTTCAAAGGAAACACTATAAGGCTATCAGCTGAAATTTTCAGCAGAAATTTTGTAGGCCAGAAGTAAGGGACATGATATATTCAAAGTGCTGAAAGGAAAAAAAACTATATCCAAGAATACTCTACCCACCAAGGTTATCATTTAGATTTGAAGGAGAAATAAACAGTTTCCCAGACAAACAAAAGGTAAAGGAGTTTATCATCACTAATCCAGTCTTATAAGAAATGTTAAGGAACTTTACATGGAAAAGAAATGGCCGTAATTACAAGTAAGGCAATTATGAATAAAAAGATATAAAATATGATAGCATATATATAAAACCTGGAGGGAGTAAAAAAAGAGAAAAACATTCTTAAATGTGTTTGAACTTAAATTCCCATCAAATTGAACTGACATCAAATTACAGGGTATAGGCTACTGTATACTTAGGATGTTATATATGAACCTCATGATAATGGCAATCCCAAAACCTATAATAGATACACAAAAAATAAATAGAAAGCCAAACATAACATTAAAGAAGTTCATCAATCACAAACAAAGAGAGCAAGAGAAGAAGAAAGGAACAGAGAACTACAAAAACAACCAGAAAACAAATAACAAATGTCAATAAGTACATACCTATCTATAATTATTTCAAATGTAGATGGTATAAATGCTCCAATCAAAAGACATAGGGTGGCAGAATGGATAAAAAAACATCTTCTCTTTATATACCATGCAAATGGAAGTGGAAAAAAAAAGCCAGGGTAGGAATACTCATATCAGGCAAAATAAGCTTTAAAAAGGGATTAATCCAGAAGTGGATGTAACAGTTGTAAATATCTATGCACCTTACACTAGAGCACCTAAATACATGAGGCAAATATTAATGGACA